CTAGTGTAAAGATAAATACTAATCTTATCTTAGTACAGATGCAGCATCCAAACTTGTAGAGCAGGGGTGGGGAACCTTTTTCTTCCAAGGACCATTTGGGTATTTATAACATCATTCGCAGGCCATACAAAATTATCAGCTTAAAAATTAGCTTGCCATATTTGGTCAAACATTTCATTAATTCGCCCCTACTGCCTTGGCAGGGCTCGGGCCTTATGTGGCCTGGGGGCTGGATATTCCCCACCCCTGTTGCAGAAGATACTGTCACTTCTTAACTTGCTAGGCAAGAGTAACCAAGGCTCCCTTTAGTGTGTCATAGGAATATTGTTTCATCTGAATAGTTGAATTTGTGATATAAACAGAAGTCCAGAGAATCCTTTTTGAGAAATTAAAACGTTTATTCAGAGAGTGATTTGGAAACCAGGGAACATAGCCCTTGATATGAACTGAAAATATGCTCTAAAAGCAGGGGGCTGCAGTAGAAATAGGGCCAGGTTTTTGAAGGCAGCAGGTGCAAGGAGCTGATGATTAAAGAGATGGTTTGCTAGGGGAAACAAGACCACAAACGTACATCATTTATTTTCTGAGTGGTGTGGGCAACTGGACTTTTCATCGAAGGTCCAGTTTGACTCAGTGGTTAAAATGACAGGCAACATATGATCAATTGTTTCTCAACGTGCTAGTTTCAGCCCAGGCATGTTGAACAAAAGGGGTTTTTTTGGTCACACAGTTACAGTATAGGGAGTGGGTTTTTTTTATTGACAACAACAAAGAGTATGATTTATCAAATAGTACAGTCGGCATAGAGGACTGTTTGCTCTGCAGGTAGTGTAGGAGCCCAGAAGGGCAAAGTTATGCTTTGTAAGCAGCTTCAGAGCTCAAGCTGCAAAAATCTAAATATTGGGCCACAAGTTATGATACTAAAGTTTTTATAAGTCCTCAGTGGTTACATCCAGTGAAAGCTTACCTGTTCTATTTTAATTTTGTATTCTCTTATTTGGCTTTTGTGGCAAATGTTTATTAATATCAGAATCAAGCTCACCCTGTGGATGTTGAAATAAACAAGTCAGGATAATGTAATTACTAGAGAATAAGTGAGTAACAGATCAGAAAAGACAAAGGATATATGGCTACCTGAGATAGAGATGTTTAAAGTGGCTGTCTGGGAGACGAGAATTGGAACCTACGGCTCAGGTGATTAAAGTCAAAAGTGCAAGACCCAGGTAAAATGGCAAGTCACACAGGTACACGTATCATCAGTTTGAACATTGACATGAACTTGGTTTGGAGGCAAAGATTACTTCAGCAAAGAGGGTAATGTGTGAAATGTGAGAGGTTATAGTTGATAAATGGCAAAGCAGGAGTTCAAACTCAAGTTTAATTCTGAAGTCCATACTGCGACTATACCATGCTGCCTATTAGGCAAGGATGAACAAGTTGGCAAGGCCAGAGTCATGGTTGTACCTAGGGAAATGAAAAAGAATAAAAGTCTTTGTTAAGTCCAAAATTTCATGTTGTAATTGATATTGTAATATTCTTGGGATATTAGTAAGAAGTAGACTTGTAAGGATGATGAGTTTAGTGGCAACACGTAGGAAGAGGTAATGGTGAGACCATTGATTAAAAGGATGATATAGTCTGATGTGGAATTGACTGCTCTAATTGTACCTCCTTTTCTCTCTGACACTACTGCTGCCTTCTATAAATAATGCGCTGTGCCATAGCTCTTCATTTTAATGATAAGCTCTTTTAGAGAAGCACTTATATGCATCCTTGTATCCCCTTATATGTGACCCAGTGCTTTGCATATGATTAGTCAGTATAATAGATGAATAAGTAACTGAGATTAGCTTCCCTTTTCAGTGACTCTTGAGCTAAGATCAAGACTGTTTGCTGGTTAAAGGGGGTGGGCGTAGGGGTGGGATGGAAAGAGAGCTCTTAGTAGAGGGAACTATGTATGCAAAGACCCTGTGTGGGAGGAAGCAAGGCAAAACACAGGACTAAAAGTAGGCCCAAATGTCTGGAGCATCTGGCAAGAGGGATCACTGGATCAGGGTACCAGTGCATGCGGGGCCTCATTGACCTTGTTTGTCTTCATGCTAAGAGTTTTGTAAGGTCATTAAGCAAAGGGTAGTGTGATAGGTTTGTGTTTTGGGAAGGTGACTTTGCTCATCTGCTTGGAAAGGGAACCCAGGTGGGTGTGGCTGGCCAGTGAGGACACATTGGAGTTGTTCATGTGACAGACAGTGGCACCTTGGACTGTGGTGATGATGTGGAGGTAGAGAGAGGTGGACCAAGAACAAGAAATTTTGTAGATAAAATGGCAGGATTTGAATGAAGATAGATTGAATTTAGGGGAGAGACAGGGAAAAAGAATGATTCCTGGATTTCTGGTTTGTGGAATGGAGGGTTTCTGGTTTGTGGAATGGAATATGGATAGCAATGCCATTCTTTGAGGTAGGAGATACTGGAAAAGAACTCAACCATTTCTTTTTGTTGTTTTGCTTTGTTAATCCTCACCCCAGGATACTTTTTCCTTTTTTTTTTTTTTTTTTTGTTAGAGAGAGAGTGGAAGGGAGGGAGGGAGGAAGAGAGAGAGAAAGAAACGTCAATGTGAGAAAGACACATTGATTAGTTGCCCCCGCACATGCCCCATTCGGGGCTCAGGATTGAACCTGCAGCCAGCTTCATGCCCTTGACAGGAATCAAACCTGAGGCCCTTAGGTGCATGGGCTGACGTTCTAACCACTGACCCACACCAACCCGGGCACCAGTCATTTTTTATAGTGGGGAAGACCATGAGTTGGATATGGATATATGAATCATATCTGCCCTTGGCTATAGGTGAATTTCCTCATTTATATAATGCCACCTTCCACACAGTTATTGAGTAGGAGTGAGTGCTTCGTAAACTATAAAGGTGCTATGTACATCTTATTGTTTGTAGATATTTATCCTTTTTATATTGTAGTTTCCTTGAGGGCAGGGATTGTATATTTGTTTGTTTGTTTTTGAAAGACCCTCAGCAGTGCTAGATACATGTAATATTCACTTAATTCTTGCCAGCTGGCTAACCTTATTTTAACTGTGTTTTTTCTTCCAGGAGCTATTCATCACTAATGAAAGCTGAGAATATGTCTTCAAATCAGGTATGCTCAAGTTATTTGCTCTAATGTTGTGCCTTGAAATAATTCAGTAAGAGTTATTAATAATTGAGTTACTGGCCAATATTGACTCACATGTTGCACAACTCTAGAACACTCAGGTGGCTTCTATTAGGCATTGCCTCTCCTTCCTTGTGGACTTCCTCATATGTTTGTTTTTGAGTAGGGCACCTTGTGTCATCCCTTGTCCATTGTGAAGTGTGGGTCTCTTAGTACTTACAGGGCTTTCTCATTCATTTCCCTCTTTCCTCCTTGCAGGCATGCAAGAGTGCCTTTATTTATTAGTGTCCTATATGAATGTGACTGTACATTCTATATTACAATTGAGAACAAAATTATCACCTTCGATTAAAAAATTAAACAGAAGTATTAACTCTAAGATCTTATTTGTGTAAGTGACTACATTGATTGTTTTCATGTTCCTCAAGACCTGAATTAAAGAGAAATGGTAGTCTGTATTATTGTACTGAAAGGATCTTCTAGCCTTGGCACCTAGTTATTTACTGACATATTGTTGTTCCCAAAATAAAACTGAGTGAATATATTTGCTATGTTGAATGTTTATAATATAGTTTACAAATACGTGCATTAGATTTGTGTTTTTCAGTACACTAGGCATGATTGCATATGGCTGTTTAAATTTAAGTTAATTAAAATTTAATTTGATTTAAAAACTCAGATTCTTAGTCATATTGACCACATGTGGCCAGGGACCATCATATTAGCGCAGAAATAGAACATTTCCATCATCACAGAAAATACTGTTAAACAGCACTGCTTTAATACTTGAAAGTTATTAACAGAATTGAAGGTTCCTCAAAGATCATCTAATCAAACACTATATTTAGTGCATGAATTGGAATTGTTAATAGGATTTTACATCTTGTTCATATCTACATATCCTTCTAGATGTAATAGGAATAATATCTTTATTCCTAGAAGAACTAAATTTATGAAGCTTCTTTATGAGTCAGAGATGTATCTTTAAAATTTATTCCTGAAAAATTCCAGAATAGCATTATGTAAGTAAATAGAGCCTTGAATTTGAAGTTTAGAGACGTGAACTGTCATTTACTAATTGAATAAGCCTAATAAGGTTATTTAACCTCTTTGAGGGTGTATCCATCGGCAATAAAAAGAAGACATATTACCTCATGAGGCTGTTCTAAAATTTATACAAGTGCATATGTGAAAGTTCATCCTTGACTTAGTCACTCTATAAATATAAATGGTCATTATTATTTCTTACTCATATAGTCCTTCGTTGCTATTTTCCCACAAAGTATCAGTATCAGTATCAGAAGATGAGAAATAGTTAATCCCTTCTGGAAACTATTGTTAGATTTCTTAAAACTGTTAAAAGTAGTTTAACAGTTAAACAGAATTCTTTAACATCCCCCAAATCTAATGTCTTTTTTGTGGTGGAGTTGCTTATTGAAGGTTTCTCCTATTCAGGGGCTACTTTCCAGCAGAAATCTCACTTATATTATGATTTTAGGCATTTTCATTCCCATCATTATGGATTTTTAAAGTTTGGATGTTCTGGAATTATGAAGTAAACATAAACACATACACACATGAATGTATGTACTTATATATACAAATAGCATCTGATTATCAACAGATGTTAAAAGTTCCAGGATTAGGAAATCAGATTTGTAGACCAAAGGATTACTAATCTGTTATTTGCTACCCCTGTTCCTGAGCTCCAGGTTTGAATCACATTCAAGTTTCCAAGGAAGTTTTGTGCTGGTTTTGATCATTTCTTGCAGTTGAAGGACTCTTAGAGCTTTTTCTTGTACTTCAAAAGACTAAGCTTTAATTCTCCTTGTAATCATCTTCTGTTAAGGGGATATAGACCTTTTATGATCCCTTTTGGCAACATGGTCAGTCAGTTTTCAGTTAAAGGCTGGTGTTTATTTAAGACAATTTTTAATTTAGTTTATACAAATATTAAGTCTTCCACTTTTAAGTTGGTTTCAATTTTGAGTTTGTGCTCTTCTATTTAGATTAGTTCTCTTCAATCTATGAGTTCTTTCTATCCATTCTAAGTTTGGTATCAGGAACCATAACAATTACTTTTAACATTGTATGTGCTCATCATCTTGTAAGTGGATAACACGAAACCTATTTTGCTATACTGAAAAAAACATTGACTCTTAAAGGGAGTCTAAAATATAAATATTATCCTAATAAAGTTTTGGAGTTCAGATATATATTAAAAGTTACTCTAATCCTAAAATACTGTTTCGCAGACACATGGGAACTCTTTGCAAATGTAACTCACAGCCTTTATAGGGAATGATGCATTTTCTTTTTTTTTTTTTTATTAAATCTTTATTGTTCAGATTATTACATTTGTTCCTCTTTTTTCCCCCCATAACTCCCCTCCTCCCAGTTCCCGCCCTACCCTCCGCCCTCACTCCCCACCCACTGTCCTCATCCATAGGTGCACGATTTTTGTCCAG